TGAGTAGAGAGAGAGAGAGAGAGGACAATCCAAACGCGTGACGCGCGGAGAAGGAGCGAAGAGGGATAAAAATGAACGAGCCGTTTCGAGTTGAATATGGAGGGAGGGAGAGAGAGGAAGGGCAGAAACATCCAGTCCTGTTCCTGAGAGACAGGCCGATCCACTCTCGACGAGATCCCTTTTGAATCGAATATACGACAGAGGCAAAAATTACGGAACTCCATTATCGGGTGTCGGAACGGTGTTCGCCTCTGGCGGTAGGCCTTGTTCTCGCGTTTCGTTAACGCGCTCGATGACGCGACCCATCGAGTTCCATCCCCCTCCCCCTCTTCTTCTTCGCGCTTTCCGATGCATCCCCCTTCGTTAATCGATGATGCGACCGTGGTAAATTACTCGAAAATTATTCCACCGGTCGAACTTCTCTTATCGATCGAGAGATGGTTACACGCGAATACGAGTGTAGGCAAGTTGGATCGAACGATGGACGAAGAAAGTTGGTTCGTCGGTCTCCAACTTACTGACTCCTGCCGCTTGTGGCCAGCTTCGACCTGTATGGGTACGGTTCTGTCGGAGCTGTGATCGGCAGGGCAGCAGAGCCACGACCTAGACCTGGTCAATCCCTTCGGTTCCTCTTCCTCCTCCTCCGCGTCCTCCTCCTCCTCTGTGGTGGCGCAATGAACGTAAACCAGATCCCTTCTCGCCGGCTCGAGGATCTCTTTGCCAGGGGCGGAGACGTGGCTCGGCTGCACCGTGTACCTGATCGCCTGTTGGCAATGTTGCTGCTGCACTTGCACTCGTTGCAAACGGTCCACGTAGTAAGCCGGCTCCGCGGAGCCATTGTTCACGGCCACGGTGAAACCCGCCACGTTGCCTCGCTGCTCGACTTTCCCTCACTGCGACATCTTTTTTCGCTCGGCGGCCATGGACGGCCACCAACCTTTTCCTCCCCGCCTTCCTTCTTCCTTGTTAAAATACCGCGACGATCGGCGTTGAAAGCGATACACAAGGCGGCTCCCTCGTCACACACTTCCGCGCTCTTGTTCCACGATAAACACACCATTCACGCGTCCGACTCTTCGTCACGCTCGGCTACGCGATGCGACGATAGAGCGACGAGACATTGCAGTAGCGATCGGTAGTGCAATTTTTCCTCCCTGCAATTAGGTTATTGCCAACTGACGCCAACAACTGTTTCGTTCTGTGCTCCCGCGATCCTCTTATCCTATTCCTACTCTCGCAACGTGATTGGAGAAACGAAACTCCTCTTTACTCGTTCTCCATCGAGAAACAAAAAACAACACTCCTTCTTCCGTCTACTACAACGAGTGGTGGAGACTAGTTCTCGAATTCGTAGTTCACGGTTCGATACGCTTCGAAAAATGGCGTGGAACGCGAAAATCGCGCTCACTAATTACGATTCGTTCCGAGATTTTCCCCCGCTTTGGCACGTGCCACCGCCATCGAAAATCGGGGAAAAACGTCGAGTGCTGCGCGAGATTTGCCGTTTCAAGTTTTCATATTTTTTAAACGCGTTTAACGAGCACGCTCGTTAACTCGTCATTAATGGCCCGGTCAATGCTAGCCTTCGATGGTCTCTCTCGCGGCTCGTTACATTTTCCACCTTGTTGATCGCATCCATCGATTCCACGTTTCCCTAATAATACAGAAAATAACGTTGCTCCACGACGTATCTCTCGATCGTGGTTCGTTTCGTTTCGCTTGGCAATTCATCCGTAGATCGTAATCGGCCGTATTTCATTTCTCCCGAGATTTCGAGCTCGTCAACTTTGCCGCTCGAAATATAAAAAAGAATCGCTGCAACGGATGCCTGGCTCGTTTAACGGAACTTTGGTCGAGCACGCTCGAGTGTCTTTTTCACACCGTTCCTCCTTTATCTTTGCGAGAGAAACAATCGGGGTGGAAAATTTTCATCGTATTCACGAAACACTTGTTTCCAGCGAAGTGAGCCAAAGATTTCGATTCGATGGAAAAAATTGACGAAACTGACTTTGCATCGCTTTCCAAGATGAATAAATATCTCGTTCGAACGAGTTGTCTATGTAGTTTGCGAGAGACACTTTGGGAGACTGTCCCAATTTAACGAGAAGGAGGATAGCCGGTATATGCGTGCAATGGAGCTCGCGCACCGATTTAGAACGGTGGTTAATTGGTCGTGTCTATCGATTCTGACCCGACCACGCGTCGCGAAAACGGGCGAAATAAATTAATTGCTCGACCGGCAATTATGAGACGCGAGAAAGGGGCAGGGATTTCTGTCTCGGGCCTAACGAGGCCCTTATTCCCGCCGGCAATTAGTTTTTTACGCGAGGTCAATGCGATCAAAGCGGCTGCGGTGAATTCCACTCGCGATCCTTCGATGCTCGCCGTGTGCCGGCGAACAAAAGTTTTCCAAAAGTTTATCCAAAAATTAATATACACCGGTTTCGACCGATCGAAAAAAGCGGAACATTTCCTTCCTCGAAAAGTGTTAATCGACCTTTTTCGAAATTTACTTGCCTCCAGAATGGATTTCTCCAATGGTACTCTTGGCCACGCTTCAATTTATCGATCGCGGACAGCTACGTGGACAAAAGTCGACGAAAAACAGCGGAATTCCGGAGTGACGGACGGGCAGGCAGGCGCGTTAATTAAACGAGTTAATTAGTCAAGGCGACGCAACCGCGCGGTATGCCGGGAAAACCGCGTTTCGAATTTAGCGGAGAGATGGTCAGGGAATACCAGGCTCGGTGTATACCAATTATGGAAACTGCTCGCCTTCCCCCCATTGGCCTTTTTACAGATCGAGCCATTTTGCCTGGTCACTCGTTCCGAATCGTTGAGAATTAATAAATAAACGAGCGAAATCGATTCACAGGTACAATTTCTTATTTATATATCGCGAGTTGTATCCGGAGGGAAGATTCGAGTGTTGGGGGAAGCGAAAGTAAGAGTAATCGTTTTAATATCGTTGCGAAAGTAGAAAGATGTGGCGAGAAAACGTGTTTTAGAAGCTGTTACGTTGAATGGATCAGCTTATCGTCGTTTATCGTCGGAGCGTATCCAACCGGGACATTTACACACGCGGTGACGTCAAACCGAGACCTCCTTCTCACCTTTCTCTCTTTTTGTTAGGTATGCTGCGTGCATAGTTGGTCGCAAATTTGTCGCGTTGACTCATAGGAGAGCCTATAAGCGGCGGCCGGATTCTTATCTCTCGATTATCGATCGAGCACCGAAAAGGGAAGAATTACGCCACCTGGCGGGGAAGAGCCTATTCTTTCGGCGCAGCTGCGGATCGCGAAAACAAACCGTGGCTATTCCTCGGATGGACGATTTCGTTTCGAATAATAATCAATCGCGGGGAAATACAAATTTAACGACGGGTTCAGCTGCGGTTAAAAATAGCGGGGAGGGATCGTGAAACGTGCGTAATCGTGGCGTGATTCACGTGATTGGGGGACCGTAGGTCGTGGCATTGGGGAGTATCAAGGGTGAAGCACGGTTCTACTACGTGGTGGATATGAGTAATTAGCACGTGCCACGTGCGCGCAATCCGAATTCAATTGGCATCGCGAGAATTCTCGTTACCGCGAACGTAACGTTTTTTCCTTCAAAACTTCTTCAGGCGTCTTTACTAAAAAAAAAAAAAAAAAAAAAAAAAAAACTCGAACCGTCTTCAAATTCGAAATTTCGACGAGGAAAATGTATCGTATCGATCGAGCAAGCAACGTGTTGCTCCAAGTCACCAGATACGTTATCTTCTATAATGGGCGCGATAAAAGGGATACATCTACCAGGAAGAGTGGATTCGCGAAAAATATCAAAGATAATATCACGTTCCAGCTTGGATAACGCTCTAAAACTGTTTTCCACGGATGTCTCCGCCGCGGTTACGATCTCGGCCCAATAAAGTTCGGCCAAAGTACAGAAACGCGCGATGTCGATACGATCCATCCTCTTATCCCCGCCGATGCTTCAACGCCGCTTTTACGACTCACGTTTTTTTTCCCCCCCCTCCACGGTATAAACACCGTTCCACGCTTTGTAACACCATTAAACGTCCGTGTTCACGATCATTACCAAGGCGAGCGCTCGCCAACCCGAACGCGGCCAATTCCGGCCGATTAATTTACGAGTTAATCGCCCAGCAACGATTCGACTCGAGACGTCGTTAAAACGTAAATGTCACTCGACGTTTAGGAGAAGGTATGCGGCCATTACTCGCGCCATTCATCGAACAAACGTTTCCATTATCGAACCGCGCGTGTAACTTTTCTTTTACCATTCGAACGGAACGGTTTAACAATTCATTGTCGCGAATTATGTTCTCGCGATCGAGTACAAAGATCTATCCCCATTTTTTCCCCCGTAGATCGACGCGATAACGCGATTGAACACGAACCCACGAATAACTCTACTTATCTTTTGAGCGAGATTTTTCCAGCCTCGACTCGATCGAGACTGGTTGGCTGGTCGATGCGACGCGGGTAGGTGATCAACGAAAGATGTTTCGTTTTATACACGAGGATTCTAAGGACGAGGCATTAAGGGGTAGGCAGCGAAGCGGCGGAGGAAAATCGTGGCTCGGTCGGTGGAACAGCAGGAACGCGGAAGGGATGGTTGGCGAGGAAGCCAGTTCGTTAAACTCGTTACCGATCCCTGAAATCGTTGCCCCGGAATGCGCCATTTTTCTCTCTCCTCTGTTTGCTGGAAAAGAGGGAGGAGCAAGAAAAGTGAGAAGGTGGAGAGAAGAGGAGGGAGAAACGTAAACCGAAGAAGGAGGATGTAAAAAATTGAAAAGTAGAGAGGAGGAGAGATGAATGGAATGGCTCGGTGATTAATACTCGGTAAATGAATATGGAAACAAAGATAGGAGCAAGATAGGAGAGCGTTTGAATATTTAAATTGCAAAATGTTTGGGAGAAAGGAAGGCGCGTGTAGCACGGCGATAATGATGCATGCCGTGGCAATCGGAGAGAACGTTTCGCGTTAATAATTTGGCCGAGGTGTGCTCAACAGACTGAACGAACGGGAAAAAATTCCTTCCGCTCGCTCGAGAAGAGAGAAGAATTCGATCTCCCGATTCGTGCAAGAGACAAAGAAAAAGAAAGGAAGAAAAAGAAAAAGACCGGAACGGAGAGAAAAGTTGTCCGAACGAGAAACCGAAAGACACACCGCGCGGATGTGACCCAATTTTCGAAGACGTGGAAAGATCGCTCGAAAACCTTCGCTCCGCTCGAGTATGCAAATTCCACGAAATCCCGATGACATCCATTTTTACGCTCGACTCGATCGGTTAAAAGTTTCCGTGCGAACGCGCCAATGTAAACGGCGTTAAATCGCATCGTCGAACAAACAACGATAAAGGAACGCAGGTTGATCCGCAATCGAGTCAAACCGAGAGCATCGGAGAGGAGAGATTGGCGCCAGTCCTTGTTTTTACTCAATTGTAACTCAACCAACGAGTTTAACGATTACTTTATCTGTACACGGAAAAGAGGAACGGTAAACTCGAGAGGAGAGAGAGAGAGAGAGGAGGAGAGAGAGTCGTGAAATTAGAGGCATCGAGGAGCGCGATAATATACGAGCGTGAATACGATAACGTCACGCCACACATTTTTGCGCAGTTTGTTAAAGGAAGAAAGGACGTCATCTTAGTTTGCTTAGAATGAAAAATCGATAATTCCAGGGTTGGTTGGAAGAAGAGGGTTAACGAACCGATTCATCCGGGCGGGCAATATTTCCAGGGTTTCGGGGCCAACGCGATTCATACGTAGTAGTATAGGTATCGCTCTAGCCAGACGGAGAGTGGCCGCGGCGCCACGAAGCCGACAAAACGCGAGACGAGGCTTTAATAGAAATTAAATGAATCGTATTGTTTTCGAAAAG